AAGGCTGAGGTGGAAGGATCGCCGGAGCCCAGCAAGTCGAGGCTGCAGTGGCCGGGAGCGACCACTGCACTCCAGTCTGGGCAACAGTGAGACTCCAACTCAAAAAAAAAAATTTTTAAATTAAAAAAATAAAGTTGACTTAAATATTAAAAAAAAAGAATAATTCTTTCACCCGAATACTGTTACAAAATTTCTAAATGTGGAAAACCAGATGAAATTTCATGGGCTAACAAATGTGTGCTTCACTTAATAATTAAAAGAAGGCCAGCTGCAGTGGCTCAAGCCTGTAATCCAAGCACTTTGAGAGGCTGAGGTAAGAGGACTGCCTGAGCCCACAGGTTCGAGACCCACCTTGGTATCTTGGCGAGACCTCATCTCTACAATACATCAAAAACTAGCCGGGCGTGGTAGTGCGTGCCTATAGCTCCGGCTACTTGAAAGGCTGAAGTGGAAGGATTGCTTCCAAGCAGGTTGAGGCTACAGTAGCCGGAAGCGTGCCACTGCATTCCAGTCTGTGTGACAGAGTGAGACTCCAACTCAAAAAGGGGGGGGGGGGCAAGAATAGGTGGGAATTTGGTAGCATATGCATAAAAGTCTCTGATACGACATACAAAAAATAATACTGACAGCACTGGTAGTAGCTAGTGAGAACTGGGGTCAGAAGGGACTGAAGACTTTTAAAATACATTACCTACTCAAGAAAAATAAAATAGCTTAGTTAAAAACTGAAAAGTTAAAAACTGAAATTGTGGCCTACCTCGGCTTCCAAGGCCCAATCAGATACAGCTCTTCAAACCTGCCAGTTCCCATGCAGGCTGGGCTGGGAAAGCCAGCATACCCCCCGGCGGTTCTGGGAAGGGGAGGTAGAGCCCTCTCACCTCTATGGGGATGTAGAGCATGAACCCCGGTTCTCCTGTGTGAGTCATGCTCATCACCCGGATCCCATTTGCGTAGCCCACGCTCATCTCCTGCAGAGACAAAGGGAGCAAGTCAGCATGAGGACTCTCCAGGGGAAGTGAGCACTCACACATGCTTGTCAGGGGAGGATGCTGCACCCTTTGCTTAACCCTAAAAGAGATGCATGACAAGGAAAAAATTTCACCCTGAAAACCGTCTGCTTCCACAGACTGAGCGCTCTGGGAATGGAGCACAGCCTTCTGGCATCTCTTCTCACGAATATCACCATTTCAGGAGTTCTAGCCAAGATGATAGTGGAAAGTAAAGGCTAAGTCTTTGTAAAACACACAGTATTTCTCTTAGCAAAGCCCTGCTAAAGACTCATGCTAGGGGTATCAAGAACAATGAAGACTCAGCAACTGTCTTCTCTGGGGGACTTGACAGACAAATCTCAGCCACTTGCCATACGAAAGATCGTGCCTGATGCCCATAGACATGAATCATCTACTACTCTGGGGTCGCAGATAGAGACCTGGCTCCTAATTTTCTTTTTTTATTTTGGATACAGGGTCTCACTCTGTCACCCATGCTGGAGTGCAGTGGTACGGTCAGAGATTGTGCCCTCAAACTCCCGGGTTCGAGGGATCATCTCGCCTCAGCCTCCTAGGTAGCTGGGACTAGAGGCATGAATCACCATGTCAGCTAACTAAAAAAATTTTTTTTGTAGAGACAGAGTCTGGTATTATAGGTGTGACAATCTAATTTTCAAAACATGTTACAACAGCTCAGTTCCCTAATAGGGGCCACTGACCCAATCGCTGTCCCTATAAAGGAAAGTGGCAAATCTCAGACAGCACCAAAGCAAACTGCTTTCATAGGAAGTTCAACATGATATGACACTTGGGCAAAGGCATCTGGATCACTCCCTCAAGCATCAGAGAAGACATTGTGAAGGGGTCTGCTGACAGCTAACAGTGGAGTTTTCTGTTGCTTTCACTGCCTTGGAGAAAAAGGAAAACAGTATAACAATTTATAGGTGGAGCCCAACTTTGGGTTGAATTTTAAAGAACCTCCATAACCGTGTGAAAGTTGCTGGTTATAGGTCGCCAAAATGTCTGTCAGTTTGGGCCTCTCTAACCAGCTGTTTCCTAGGGAGGATTCAGTTATTGCTTATATTTGGTTATAATTTGTTTCACTCAGCTATAGTAGCCACTTACAGGAAAGAAAATTATACAAGTTGCTTAGGAATTCACCTACACCATTTTTTCCCTGAAGATGTCATATACACAGAAATTACTCTGTGTACAAAAAAGAGGACTCACTGCATGGAGGGAAGGGACCTGGCCTCAAATGGCACTTTTTAGTGTCAATGTCACAATCCTGTAACTTAAAATTTTAATTTACTGCTACAGAAACCAAAAAATATACAGACCTCATATTCAGAGATGCTAAACCCACTTCAAAGATACAGGAAGAGTTTGAAGGGTGAAAAATAAGGCAGTTTATTTGGTCATTTTGTTTGCGTAATAAAGTCAGAACACTTTCTGTGAGTGTTAATGCCACAGTAAGAATATGTAATTACTACCATTATAAAATAAATATCCTCTGCTCATTTAACAACAGAACTTTACTAGCACTCACCTTGCAAAAGAGACTTGGGAAGTGGTCTGGAGTCATAGGGGCATAGGACAACTCGGACAGCACATCCACAGCTCGAGGGCCAATCAGATTAAGGGCTAGACAGGAAAGAATAAGAGATGGCCACCTCTCCAGGTAAACAGCTGAGCCTTGGGAAAGATGTGTTCTGAATTTACTCACTTAGCGCCAGACCTGGGTGCTAACACCACAAAAGCGTTCCTCTGCTTAAGCAATCTAAGGACAGATGCCAAGCATCATGATTCTGGCAAATGTAGCTGCTGATCACGCTGGCTTGTGACAGCCTAGGTGTCTGGTACCCAGGAAGACAACATTCCTCCTCTGCAGTTAGACTAGTATTATGAAGCCAAGTCCTAGTCAATCGGACATGAGCCTACTCCCGGGGCTGGCCATAATCCCACTGCATGATTCCCATTCTCTTTCTCTTCCCAGTGTGCCTAAATGATGGAAGAAGCCCCAATCCCAAATCACCACCTGGAGGAGAGTTGCCCAACCCCCTGGATTCTGATGTTTACGACAGCAACTTGTGCTAAGTACACGTTGTTCACCCCAATACAGGCTATAACAGGACTTTTGTTCAATAAGATTATGTATTTTGCCAACCTGGTAGCAAAAAGTGAATTATATTTGCTACTACAAGGAACTGAGAATGCAGGCTTGGGGGAGGAAACACTGGTGGGGCTGAAGGATAGAAGTCAGGTAGGAGGGTGGGAGACAGGAGGGGCTGAACCTGAGATGGGGTGGTTGATGAGGAGGGGCTGCTCCCTCAACAGGACAACTGAGGAAAAGACAATCAGAAAATTAAGTCATCCTTAAAAATTGTGTACTCATTAAAGAAAAAAAGATTAAGTTGAAAATTTTAAAGAAAACATTACTTAGGTAATGAACATAAAAATTTTTTTTGTTGTTGTTGGAGTCTCACTCAGTCACCCAGACTGGAGTGCAGTGGTCGCTCCCGGCCACTGCAGCCTTGACCTGCTGGGCTCCGGTGATCCTTCCGCCTCAGGCTTCTGAGTAGTTGGAATTACAGGCATGCGCTACCACGCCCGGCTGATTTTTTCATTTATTGTAGAGATGAGGTCTCACTGCCCAGGCGGGTCTCGAACCCGCAGGCTCAGGCAATCCACTCACCTTAGCCTCCCAAAGGCGCAGGATTACAGGCTGAGCCACCAAGCCCGGCTATAAAAAATATTTTTAAAAATTATTTACTCATTCACTCAACAAATACTTGAACTCCTATATGCTGTAGGAGATACAGCAGTGAAAAAAACAAACAGAAACAGAAACACTAACTCACATTTCACACTTCACTTACAAAACAGTGAGAAAGTATTTGAGAACAATTTTCATTTTTTAATTTTTATTTTATTTTTTTGAGTTGGAGTATCACTCTGTCACCCAGGCTGGAGGGCAATGGCATGCTCCCAGCCACCGCACCTCAGCCTGCTGGACTTAAGTGATCCTTCCGCCTCAGCCTTCCAAGTAGCTGGAACTACAGGCACACACCACCACGTCTGGCTAATTTTTTGATTTATTGTAGAGACGAGGTCTCGCCAAGTTGCCCAGGTGGGTCTCGAACTCCTGGGCTCAGGCAATCCTCTTGCCTTGGTGTCCCAAAGTGCTGGAATTACAGGTTGAGCCACCACGCCCAGACGGGATCAATTTTCTATGACCAATGAACTCTGATGTTCATTTTTGAAAGTCAAGTATAAAGAACAGAAATACAGAAGACACATCTGGACCTGTTGGCTTTTTCTCACTCAGCTGACCCCAGGGGGCCCCGTACCAGTATATTTCCAGGTGACGTCCTCCAGAAGCAGGTTGCTATCTTTGGGCATGTGTTTCTTAAGCCAGGCCCAGCAGTGGACCTGCTGGTCGGTTGGAGAGATCATGAAGAAACTGAAAGTGAGATCCCGAAATAATCAAAGCCAAGTAGCAGAAAAAGAACCAGGAAGCAATCATCTAATTTCAAAGCAATGAGGAGAATACTGGGAAATGATCTCTTAGCTTTCAGGGAGGGCCAGTAGCACCATTCCAGGATATACAAACAAAAAAGAAAATTTTGACTTCTTGTGAGTGCAAGAAATTTTACAGAACAACTAACATAAGACATTTTCTCCCAGTAGGATAACTTAACTCTTCTACACTGAGTTTTACATAATCTGGTGGGCTTCTTTTTTTTTTTTCTGGTGATTTCTTTGCGTTTAGGACTGCTGATGAACTGGCCATGAGTTTATTTTTTTATTTGTAATTTATTTATTTATTTATTTATTTATTTATTGAGTTGGAGTCTCACTCTGTCACCCAGACTGGAGTGCAGTGGCCGCTCCCAGCCACTGCAGCCTCGACCTGCTGGGCTCCAGCGATCCTTCCACCTCAGCCTTCCGAGTAGCTGGAATTACAGGCATGTGCTACCACGCCTGGCTGATTTTTTGATTTATTGTAGAGATGAGGTCTCGCTGCCCAGGCGGGTCTCGAACCCACGGGCTCAGGCAATCCACTCACCTCAGCCTCCCAAAGGCACGGGATTACAAGCTGAGCCACCAAGCCTGGCTATTTTTTTATTTTTTTGAGTTGGAGTCTCACTCTGTCACCCAGACTGGAGTAAAGTGGCCGCTCCCGGCCACCGCAGCCTCGACCCGCTGGGCTCCGGCGATCCTTCTGCCTCAGCCTTCCAAGTAGCTGGAACTACAGGCGTGCACTACCACGCCCGGTTAATTTTTGATTTATTGTAGAGATGAGTTGCCCAGGCGGGTCTCGAACCTGCGGGCTCAGGCTACCCACTCATCTCAGCCTCCCAAAGCGCGGGATTATAGACTGAGCCACTGAGCCCGGCTGGTCATGAGTTTATTAATGGTTTTTTAGTCCCTGGGACTATAATGTTTTCTTGGAGAAGTGCATCATGTGCTCTGCTACAGTACCCTGAAGGAATCAGTGTGTTAGAGGGAGCAGAGTGGGATGATAGCTAATCTCACCTGCGCTTGTTCAGTCGTGCTATGCTGCAGTCATTTTCATACCCTCCACCCTCATTGAGCATGCCAGTATGCACAATGTGGCCCACGGGCACATCCACGTCATTGGAGAAGAGGTACTGTAGAATTTCTAATGCCTGGTCCCCAGTGGACTGCAAGATTAGAGAATGAAGCAGACAGTAAACACAAGAGCACCTGGTTGAGTCACAAGGCCCGACCAGCAATGAGCCTGCAGAGGAGATTCAATTTGCCAATACCCAAGCAACAATATGTGCAGATCTACTCTACTGTGAGAAGCTCTGGCGAAAGCTAGTTATTGACTCTTATGATGAATGGGCCTCTCTAGGCAAATTAAAAACCAGAAACAAGCAGCAAAATATTCAGAAAAATGTTAAAATACAGATGAAATACTAAAATCTATCAGAAGTCCTATGGAATCAGTTTTAAAGTGACATGAAAAATAAGAGGCACTCAGTTAATATGCAAAGTTTCCTAATCTGTTATTTTGGTTGCCAAACACTTACTGTTATCTCAAACTTTGTGAAAGAGGACATATCGATGACACACACAGCTTCCTTACAGCACTTGACTTCAGATTCCACGATGTCAAACCAATCTGGCTTATAGAAAGTCTTGCTCTGCTCCAATGCTAGGAGGTCTATTGAAGAGAAGAAAGAAAAAAAAAAAAGAAGGGGACTTCTACTAGGGAGTCTCCCTCTATAGTTTGGTATAGTCTAACAGGTTTTATTATTCAACTTCCAGAAACTCATTCTAACTTTGCATTTAAAAATAAGTTTTATGAATTCCAAGGACACACAAGAAAGAATAAATGAGGATGTGACTTCTTACCCTTGTCAGGTGGAACAAAGTACTTTGGCCTCTCAAATCCGTGTTTCTCCATCCACCTGGCTCCCTGTGCATCCAACCGGTCATAGAGCGGAGATGTGCGTAACTGCCTACCAGTCTGGAAGTCCCAACGGGGAACCTTCAGGTCGTATATCAGAGCTACAACAGAGAAGAGCAGTCTGTCAAATTCCAAGACACAGATTCTAGAGCTGAATATCCAATATCCACTAGGCTCTGGAGTCATCCCTATTCAAAAGATCAATTTCAGGCTAATGTAGTCTAACATTACCAGGTGTAACAGGCATGCTCCAGAAGAAAGGACAATATTGCAAGCACTTGCATTATCCCTCTATAAAGTTATATAGCTATGAGTCACACAATAACTCTCAGTTTTTATTCACATTTGTAGTTTAAAATTAGAAACAATGGGAGAAAAGTCATAGTCCTAAACCCTGTTAAGCTCCACAGCAGAGATGAAGGTTTTATCTAAGTGGGACACAGGTGGTAACAAGGAGTGAAAAAAATGGCACTTGATTCTTTATAGTGTCGGTGTTGTTAGGACCTCAGACCTGTTATGGACATTTCCTCTCTAATACCTAACTCATTTCTGAAGTGAAGGGTATGTATCATACCTTGATTTGGTGGCTCTGAAATCTGAGAGGTTGCATTGTATTGTCCCAATGACATTATTCACATAACAAAGCTAGGGTCAGAATTCATTTCTCTTAATGTCCAATCTGCAACAGCACTAAGTAAAAAAAGCCAGAAAGAGTACACTCTCTAGTTCCTTCCAAAGAGAAGACCTGATCTCACACCACTCTAAACAAAAGATATATCGAGGTGGAGGGAGGCTGGGATATTGAGGAGAAGGAAACCATGCTGGGTTCCTCATATTGTGACAATTTGTCAACCTCCTGTTACTTTAGTCTTTATTTTCCCTTTCCCATTTTCAATCATTCAACTCTATTTTATGAGAATTGAAGGCCACCAAATGTGTCACATCACCAAGGAGAAGTTCAAGCTCAATTATGATTCACATAGGGTGGGGAAATCTAGCTTTCAACAGTTCAATATTTTAACTAAAATATTTGCCAAAATTAAAGAACCTTAGCAGTTAAAAACACTGCTGGTAGGTCCTTCATGTTCATGAATGCAAGTTTTCTTCCCAGGCCAAAAGTGAGCACTCAGGCTTTAAAGGTCATCCAAAGGCCTCATCATGACTGTCATCCAGCGATGAAACCAACATTTCATTTGTAACCAAAAATGGCGGTCACAGCCAATATAGAAACTTCAAAGAAAAAAAAGAAATTCTGTCCCGAGCATAACTATGCCCCAAAATATTTAGAAATCATTTGGAGTCTGAGAATGGTTCCTCAGAATTGGAAAATGAAATTACAAGAGAACCCACATGATTTGCTTCAATTCCTGATACAACAGCTATCTCCAAGGACTCGCCTGAAAATAAATCAGAGACAAGGTAGAACAAAGTTAAAATGAAGTGGCCGAAGCAGGGCTCAGTGGCTCAGCCTGTAATTCTGTGCCTTTGGGAGGCTGATGTGAGTGGACTGCCTGAGCCCGCGGGTTCGAGACCCGCCTGGGCA